CTCAGCTTGACTCTAAAGCAGTGTGGGGTGCTCCGTGCATCTCGTCTCATTCAGTGCCCTCTGTGGGGTACCTTTCTGGAGAGCAAAGCATTGTGGTGGCCAAATAGCCCCTGACCTCAGACTGCTTACATTCTATCAGGGGAGATAACATAGGTATATGTATGCATACACGAAATAAACACAAGGTACTTTGGGCGTATGTTGGATCCTCCTAGCAGAATGTAAGCTCCATGAGGGCAGGGACTTTTTCAGTTTTGCCTTTATATCCCCAGAGCCCAGCACGTGGTCTTGCACCTAATAGGTGCTTACGTATTTGCTGATGGATTGATTTAAGGTCCCTTCTGACTCTAAGTCTGTGATTCTATGAACCCCAGTAGAGAAGAAGCTCCTTGAGGGCAGGGACTGCTCTGCTTTTGTGTTTGTATTCCTAGTGCTTAGCACAGTGCCTGCACATAGTAGGTGCTTACTAAATGCTTGCTGATGGACTGTTTGAGGTTCCTTCTACCCCTAAGTCTGTGATTCTATAAACCCCCATAGAGTGGAAGCACCTTGAGGGTAGGGACAGTTTTGCTTTTGTCTTTGTTTCCCTAATGCTTAGCACAGTGCCCGGCACACAGTAGGTGCTTAATAAATGCTTGTTGAACTGGATTGAATCAAATGCTTCAGCAGGATTCAGAAAAGAAGCTAAGAGTGACATGAAGGTAAACACCATCTGTATCCGTTGAGAGTAGGTCTGTTACCACGTATGGTCAGAAACAAGCCTTTCCCCCCTTCCCTGTGATGAAGTCCTGGTTAACTGAGTCCAAAAACCACAGGCTGCATCCTATGAGGAGGGGAGGACTTTGAAAGCCCCCTCCCACTGGCAGATGCAGAAGGATTTTCTGTGATTATGTGCTGCTGGATGCGCACCTGTCAAATCTTGCCTGCTCTTCCCTTCTTGCCAACTCGGTACTAATTGGCTATCAATGTTATGTGTTAGAACAACCAAGGGACGCTCATTATATGCCTCTGCTTTTTGCCTTGGGTTTGAAGCTGCCCCAGGCCCTCTGAGCACAATGCAGTTTTATTTTCCTGCCTTTCAGGTCTTTCTGGGATTGCCCAGAGGAAAGCGCTGTGAGCTGGAAATCAGGAGACTTGGGGGTGAGCCCTGGCTAAGCCCCTTTAGCCATGGAATCCTAGCTCTAGACCTTGGAGGCATCTGGCCCAACTGCCTTCATTTGACAGGTGCAGACACTGAGACCAGAGGCGTGGTGACTTGCTCAAGGTCATACAGCTGGTGTCAGAGACAGAATCTGAATCTAGGGCTTCCTGAAGGGTCCCAGGTTCAGCACTCTACCCACTAGGCCAAGCTGCCTCTTGCCGGGTGGAGACTGGGTGAGTTACTGCATCTTTCTGTTTAAATTTATAAAAATGATACTGTTTCCCTTGCCCTTCATGGTTGGGAGAGGTCATTCTTCACAACAGTGCCGCATAGGTGGGCAGCTGTCGAGTAATCGGCTCCATTTTACAGATGAGGAAACAGAGGCTTGTGACAGGCTCACACAACTCATATCAAAGCCAGGATTCAAACACAGGTCCCCCCTCACTTTGGGTTCAGCTTTCTTTCTACCACACCATGCTGCCTTCTTTGTCTGGCAGCTGGGTGGTACAATGGATAGCATACTGGGCTTGAAGTCAGGAAAACACTGCCTCAGACACTAGCTCTGTGACCCTGGGCAAGTCACTTAACCTCTATTTGCCTCAGTTTCCTCAACTCTAAAAAATGAGGATAACAACAGCACCTACTTCCCCAGGTTACCACGAGGATCAAGTAAGACAGTATTTGTAAAGCGCTTAGCACAGTGCCTGGAACAGAGTAAGAGCTATATAAATGCCAGCTATCATCTGTAAAATGGGTATAGGAAGCACCTAATAAATGATTGCTTCCCTCTACCTCTAAGAATTCCTAGTTTCTATCAAAGCTCGGCTTAAACACTGCAGACATTAAGCTTCTTTTGATTTCTGAAGCTGCTGCTGCCCCTTCTCCCAAAATATTCTGTCTATACTTTATTTTACAGGAGTAGCTAGGTGGTGCTGGGTCTGGAGTCAGGAAGACCTGAGTTCAAATGTGACCAAAGACACTTACTAGCTGTGTGACCCTGGGCAAGCCACTTCACCCTGTTTGCCTCAGTTTCCTCATCTGTAAAATGAACTGGAGAAGGAAATGGCAAACCACTCCAGTATCTCTGCCAAGAAAACCCAAATGGGGTCATGGAGAGTCGGCTAAGGCTGGAAACGATTGAACAACAACAACAAACTTTATTTTACGTTGTTTCATACGTTGTCCCCTCCTGTAAACTCTGAGTTCCTCAAGGGTAGGGATTGTTACAATTTTGTCTTTCTATTTCCCCAGAGCCTGGCACAGTGCTGTCTGTCTATCCATTGTCTGTCTCTCTATCTCCATCCATCCATCCATCCATCCATCCATCCATCCATCCATCCATCC